TACTCACCATTTGATAGTTGTGAACAACCGGAAATAACATGTCTGAGGGACTCTCCAGGGTGGAGACATGCGCGACATACGTCAACAGTGCCGTCCCTCAGAATGTATCTCCGGTAGTTGTTCGTTTTAATTACTTCATCTTGTATTGCACAGTTTCTGCAAAAAGGTCACCAAATTGTAACCAATGTACTGATGCAACCATGTCTACACAAGGATTAGTCTATGCTTTAAAAAATCGACCATGCAGTTGTTTGTCATTCCAAACCTTTTTGCGTTCATCTATAGTCATCATAGTATGAGGCCTCTGCCAGTCCTTTGCCGACATATTAAGCGGGATTAATGATTTGTCATTAATCACTACGTCATTATGAATGTGTGATATGTTTTTTTTTAAAATAAAATAGTCTCTGAGGTTGTATACTTCACGGTTGTGTAGGTTTTTAATGTTTAATAAGCCCCGTCCACCATCTTTTCTTAGAAGATACAACCTCATGACAGATGATCGTGAGTGGTGCATTCTGTGCGTAGTCATTAATGTATGGACTCGTCTATCTAAGTCATCCAATTCTGTTTGAGACTATCTTGTAACACCAAAAGTATATAGAAGGCTAGGTATTACCCAGGAGTTATATGCTCTAATTTTGTTTCCGCCGGATAAATGACTTTTGATAACTTTTTTCATCTTGACATAAATTTTACTTTTGAATTTTCTTTAATATTTTTGTCATTAATTCCTAGTGCTTCTGCTATGCCCCAGTATTTATAGGTTTCTGTTTCAGAAAGAGAACTGAAATGTAAGTCATTTGTAATTGCAAAATTATTACAATCTTTAATTTTGCCCCTATTTACGTTGATGACAGCACATTTATCTACTCCAAATTCCATTCTAATATCATTGTTGAAACTATGTGTTAATTTCAACAATAATAGTAGATTACTTTCTTTTGATGTGAATAGTTTGAGATCATCCATATAAAGTAGATGTAAGATCGGTGAGTTTTCTTTTCGAAACCGAAACCCTAATCCGGATTCCGGATAAAGTTGGGCTCAAACTATCGCCTTGGAATATACCCCGTTTAATATTTATAGAGTCTATCGAACTACTTTGCCACTCACCTGGTAGATTTAGGATAGTGTTCCGCTGACCCATTAATTTACTTAAAAACTTACAAATTTTGTCATCTATTTTATATATTTCTAAAACTCTCTTTAGCCATGAATGTGGGTGGACATATTTTTGCGATTACGAAAGACTTGTCGGCAAATAGCAGTGTCAATGAGAAGTTCTTTACAAGCACGTGACCCTTTCCGACATCCGTTCTGTGCAGTTGAAAGAATGTTATTATTTTCCAAATGTTTATAGATCTTGTTATTCAAAATTGCAGTTATTAATTTGTATACAGTTGAAAGGCATGTTATAGGTCGGTAAATTTTAGGTTCAGTGGTGTTTCCATTTTTATATAGTAAGTGGGTAATACCAGTTGTAAGAAGTCTCGGGAGCTCACAACACTCAATGGCTTCTTGAATCTGTGCAGCCAAACGCACGTGGCTACTTGTTATCCATTTCAGCCAAAGTTGTGTATACCATCTGGTCCAAGTGATTTCCAATTGTGTAATCTACGAGTAATTGAGTGTACATCTTCAGCAGTAATTGAAATAGAACCCATGTTAGCCAAATTGGAAAACTCACGTTCGGTTGCACGAATCCATTCGCCTTCATTATGAGAAACTTCGTTAGACCACATACTTTTCCAAAAATTTAGACATTCACTTAAGCTTGGGCTGCCATGAGTACAACTATTAGTTGTAGTGTTCTCCCAAGACCGATACACCCACTTTTGGTTACTTTCGAATGTGCGATTCTGGAAGTACCGTTTAGATCTTTCTAAATATCGTCTAATACGGTTGGCCCATGCTTTTAACTTTTGTTTTTGTGTATCAATGAATTCAGTAATTTTATCCGGAAAATGGGGATCTGATTGGCTAATATCATTTTCATTAGCGATTTAGTTTACTAAAGTAATTATTTTTTATGTCTGTTACCTGTTTGGTAGCTTATTAATTTTCCTATAATTTTGCGAGTATTGTCAATTCGTTTTTGAATTCTTTGTTTCCATTTAGGTTCTGTATTATTTTTGTTAAAATTTTGTACTGAAATGACAGGAATTTTCATTATCATACATATAGCATGGGCACAACAGTATAGAAGAGACATAGTTTCCAAAATAGAGTTACTTTTTTCAAAATAAGCTTTACATAGAATATTCATTGATGCTACTGTTAAAATAGTTTTTTTGTTGTTAGGAAGTTTAGGTAGTTTCGGTCTATTTTCTATAGGTGTATTTTTATATTTCAGAAGGGAACATTCGAAAGTCCTTTTCATATATTCGCTGTCTTGGGAACTCACATCTATATCAAAACAATTTTGCTCTACTTCTTCGTTATTTAAGTTAGTAATATTTATTATTATTATTATTGGGGTATCTATATAATTTTCTCACCTGGTTGGGTTCTATAAATATATAATTATAAATTAAAATGAAAAGATAAATATACATAAATATAATAAAATAAAATAAATACAAAAACTACAAAAATAAATAAGATCCAACCAGATGGGAGCCCTCGCCAGGGGAGACCAAACGGCCGAGGGTTAGGGGGAAAGGGAAAGAAACTGGCGGACGATGCGGGCGGTATCGAGTAGCACCGCCTTCTGCATTTGAGCCCGGAGCGGTCCGTTACGGAGTCCCAGTCGCCTCAGATGACTCGAGAGGCTGACTGGGATTAGCCCATTCGCAGAGACGACTACAGAAATAATTTCGGTCAGCATACCACCCCACATGTCGGTCACCTCGTGAGCCAGGTCCAGATATTTTGTTCGTTTCTCTGTTTCGGCTTTCACGAGGTTCTCGGCATACGGAATGGTAATCTCGATCAAAAATATCCTTGAGTTGTGCCTGTGCAAGTACTCAGAGTTAGAAAGCGCCGAACAACCGGAGATAACATGCCTAAGTGACTCACCAGGATGGCGACAAGCTCGACAGATGTCGACGGTGCCATCCTTTAGGATGTATCTCCGATAGTTGTTGGTCTTAATAACCTGATCCTGTATTGCAAAGACAAAGCGTAGCCAGTGGAGGGAGGCTACTGTGTCTACGAAAGGCTCATGTAGAGCCTTGTAGAACCTCCCGTGGCGCTCCCTCTCCTTCCATACGGTCTCCCGGTCGGAAATGCTCTGCACTGCCGGGTCTTGCCATTGCTCGTTGGCTAAGGATAGAGGGGTAAGTCCTTTATCACAAGAAATGACGTCCTTACAGAATGGATCATCCGATCTCGCCAGGAAGTAATCACGGAGGCTGCACACTTCGCGATTATGCATGGTAAGCGCGCTCAAGAAGCCACGACCACCATGCTTCCGCGGCAAGTACAGCCTCATTACCGACGATCTCGGATCATCCTATGGGACGTCATGGTAGTGCGGACTTTTCTATCCACGGCGTTAAGTTCAGTCTGAGTCCACCTGAGTATGCCAAAGGTATACATGAGGACAGGCATGACTCAGCCGTTATATGCGTGTGCCTTATTCACACCGGACAAAAGGCTGTTAAGCACTTTGGTCAAGCCTGCATAAAACACGTCGCAGACTGACTGTTTCACACCAGTCTCATCGATACCGATGTTTTGTGACATACCCAGGTATCGGTATGTTTCAGCCTCGGAAAGGGTCCTTAAGTTGACGGGCATAGATAAGTCTACGCCCTCAGAGTTAGCAACCCTTCCCCTTTCAATATTGAGGACCGCACACTTATCCGTCCCAAGCTCCATTCCAATGGAATTGCTAAATTCACAAGTGATGTTTAGCAATTCCATAAGATGGGAGCGACTGGAGGCGAATAACTTGAGGTCATCCATATAGAAAAGGTGGGTCACTTTTGTCCCTCCTTTCCGTAGCTGAAATCCCCTCCCGGAGCCCTCCAGTAAGGTACTGAGAGGGTTCAGAGAGAGGCAGAACCAGATTGGACTCAGACAATCGCCCTGGAAGATACCCCTTCTTATCCTTATGTGGTTCTCCGCAGTCATCATCGGCTTGTCCAGATGACGAAGGATCGTACTCCACTGCCCCATACACTGCTCGAGGAAGTCTCTAACTGTACAGTCTATCTTGTACAGCTCGAGGACTCTCTTTAGCAATGTATGGGGCACCGAGTCGAATGCCTTTCTATAGTCTATCCAGGCGGCGGAGAAGTTCCGACGGTTGCGTTTCACCACTTTGCCAATGACAGCGTCAATGAGGAGTGGTTCCTTGGTTCCACGACCACCGCCCCGACATCCATTTTGAGCGCGCGACATCACCTGATTTGAGTCCAGGTGACAAGTGATTCTCGCGCTCAAAATGGATGTTAGTGTCTTGTTTATATGGTCGGTAGACACGTGATGGGGCGGTATTTGCTCGGGTCTGTGGTACCCTGGTCTTTAGGAACCAAATGAGTGATCCCAGTAGTGAAGAGGGTTGGGAGCGACTTCTGGTTGAGAGCCTCTTGAAACTGTCGGGCGAGCACAGAATGACACACCATGAACCCCTTCAGCCAGTAGTGATGCAGCCCGTCAAGCCCCGGACTTTTCCAGTTCGGGGCCCTACGGACCGCCTCAGCTACGTCATCCGGCGTTATGATGACGGGGTCCATGGGCGTAATACCCGCACACTTACTCGCCACAACTTCCGTCCAAGGGCCCTCGCTGTGGTTTACGGGCTCTGACCACAGGCCGCGCCAGAATGCTACAGTGTCGGCCTGATTCGGTGCTGGACCCGTTCCACTTACCATTGGTCGATCCAATGATTCATAGAGCCTCTTCTGATCACTCTGAAAGAGACGATTCTGGTTGAACCGTGTCGACCTCTCGGTATATCGCCGAATCCGCTTTCCCCAAGCAGCGATTCTCTGCTTCAGATCATCTATGCGCTCCGTCAGTTTTTGCGTTATATCCGGCTGGGACAAATGTCATTTTGCAAACGCCATCCTGACGGTGCGCACAATTCTTGGCCTGTTGTTGCCTGATCTGAAGCATATCAGTCTGCCGATGAGAGCTCTAGCCTTTGCGATACGTTCCTCAATTCTTCTACTCCATGGTGGGATAGCGCTACTATGGCCAGTAGCGCGTCCAGCCGTGGAAACCTTGGCGCCTATGATACGGCAGGTTGCCAGCGCGGCGCCAAAAAGAATTGAGTCCGTCTCGCAAAGGTCCCGGCTGGCTTCCAAATAGGTCACCAGCATTGGGTTCAGAGCCCTCACGACAGCCCGATTTCGCTTGCTTAGGGCTATGTGGGGAAGTCGCGGTCAATTTTCGAGAGGCGTACTGCGCGTTTCCACAATCGCCTCTTCCAATGTACTCCTCATATGCTCTAATTCCAGTTCCTGGGCGACTGTTCCATCATCGTTTGAATCAACCACAACTGGGGTATTCACGGCGGCATCCACGTTTGCGGGTTGCTCTACCATTTGTGGCGCCGCATCCTCAGCCGTAGCATTCTCATCCGACGAGGGAACAGCCTCACGTCGTAGCCGTTCGAGTTCGGCGACATCAAATATATTTGAGCGCAAGATATACCGAACTCGGTCTGCCAGGTTTTGCTCTGTGACGGTTAAAGATGGCTCCAGCTCAGCAAAAAAACGATGCATCTAGCCCGATACGCCAAACATCCAGTTTCTTCCCCTTTTGCCCTAAAGTACGCCCGCAATGCGTTTGCATTCATTGCTTGTGACCATCGCATGCGATGTGCTCCACCAGCGGCGGGTGCCGCTTGCTGAGTCCGAGAAGACTCAGCCGACTCCAAGCCTTCTGGTGGGGATGATGGATGAGGAGGGCTGCTAGGTGACCGTGCAGCTCCTCGCGCTCGGCTGGCGACCCGCATGCCGCCGCGTCCAGCGCCAGCTCCAGACGCGCCCCGGCGACCCCCAGGCAGCGGCCCTTTGCGCACTATCTTCTTATCCATCATCCATTATTTGGGCGTCCATTAACGGGAGACGCCCAGGCCCGGCACCGTTTCGTGTGTAGCCATAAGCACAAACGGGCCTCTGCACCCTAAATTCTGCTGAGGCACGGCGCTCACACCTCTCGCAAGGCGCTGACTGACTGCGTTGACGTAGCAGTTTTGTCACTTAACTGTTACGTCAGCGGGCGATGGGGTCGTCAATTCCCTACGCCTTTATTATTATTATTATTGTGGGGCATCTATATAGTTTTCTCATCTGGTTGGGTTATATAGATATATAATTATAAATGAAAATGAAAAGATAAATATACATAAATATCAATAACATAAAATAAATATAAAAGTACACAAATAAATAAAAGCCCAACCAGATGGAGTCCCTCGGCAGGGGAGACCAAACGGCCGAGGGTTAGGGGGAAAGGGAAAGAAACCGGCGGACGATGCGGGCGGTATCGAGGAGCACCGCCTTTTGCATTTGAGCCTGGAGCGGTCCGCCACGTAGTCCCAGCCGCCTCAGATGACCCGAGAGGCTGACAGGGATTAGCCCGCTTGCAGAGACGACTACAGGAATAATTTCGGTCGGCAGATCACCCCACATGTCGGTCACCTCGTGAGCCAGGTCCAGATATTTTGTTTGCTTGTCTGTTTCGGCTTTCACGAGGTTCTCGTCATACGGAATGGTAATGTCGACCAAAAATATCCTTGACTGTGCCCGGTCCATCAGCACAATATCAGGCTTATTCGCAAGAATAGTCCTGTCTGTGATGATGGCCCGGTCCCAATAGAGCCTGGCGCGATCATTTTCGAGCACGGCTTCCGGCAAGTACTTGTAGTACGGCAATTTCCGGTCCACGAGACCGTATTTCAGAGCGAGCTCCTGGTGTAGAATTCTGGCTACTAGGTTGTGCCTGTGCAAGTACTCAGAGTTAGAAAGCTCCGAACAACCGGAGATAACATGCCTAAGTGACTCACCGGGATGGCGACAAGCTCGACAGATGTCGACGGTGCCATCCTTTAGGATGTATCTCCGATAGTTGTTGGTCTTAATAACCTGATCCTGTATTGCACAGACAAAACCCTCGGTTTCCCCGAAGAGATCACCAAAGCGTAGCCAGTGGAGGGAGGCTACTGTGTCTACGAAAGGCTTATGTAGAGCCTTGTAGAACCTCCCGTGGAGCTCCTTCTCCTTCCATACGGTCTCTCGGTCGGAAATGCTCTGCACTGCCGGGTCTTGCCATTGCTCGTTGGCTAAGGATAGAGGGGTAAGTCCTTTATCACAAGAAATGACGTCCATATAGAATGGATCATCCGATCTCGCCAGGAAGTAATCACGGAGGCTGCACACTTCGCGATTATGCATGGTGAGCGCGCTCAAGAAGCCACGACCACCATGCTTCCGCGACAAGTACAACCTCATTACCGACGATCTCGGATGATGCATCCTATGGGACGTCATGGTAGTTCGGACTTTTCTATCCAGGGCGTTAAGTTCAGTCTGAGTCTACCTGAGTATGCCAAAGGTATACATGAGGACAGGCATGACCCAGCCGTTATATGCGTGTGCCTTATTCACACCGGACAAAAGGCTGTTAAGCACTTTGGTCAAGCGTGCATAAAACACGTCGCAAACTGACTGTTTCATACCAGTCTCATCGATACCGATGTTTTGTGACATACCCAGGTATCGGTATGTTTCAGCCTCGGAAAGGGTCCTTAAGTTGACGGGCATAGATAAGTCTACGCCCTCAGAGTTAGCAACCCTTCCCCTTTCAACATGGAGGACCGCACACTTATCCGTCCCAAGCTCCATTCCAATGGAATTGCTAAATTCACAAGTGATGTTTAGCAATTCCATAAGATGGGAGCGACTGGAGGCGAATAACTTGAGGTCATCCATATAGAAAAAGGTGGGTCACTTTTGTCCCTCCTTTCCGTAGCTGAAATCCCCTCCCGGAGCCCTCCAGTAAGGTACTGAGAGGGTTCAGAGAGAGGCAGAACCAGATTGGACTCAGACAATCGCCCTGGAAGATACCCCTTCTTATCCTTATGTGGTTCTCCGCAGCCATCATCCGCTCGCCCAGATGACAAAGGATCGTACTCCACTGCCCCATACACTGCTCCAGGAAGTCTCTAACTGTACAGTCTATCTTGTACAGCTCGAGGACTCTCTTTAGCCATGTATGGGGCGCCGAGTCGAATGCCTTTCTGTAGTCTATCCAGGCGGCGGAGAAGTTCCGACGGTTGCGTTTCACCACTTTGCCAATGACCGCGTCAATGAGGAGTGGTTCCTTGGTTCCACGACCATCGCCCCGACATCCATTTTGAGCGCGCGACATCACCTGATTTGAGTCCAGATGACAAGTGATTCTCGCGCTCAAAATGGATGTTAGTGTCTTTTATATGGTCGGTAGACACGTGATGGGGCGGTATTTGCTCGGATCTGTGGTACCCTGGTCTTTAGGAACCAAATGAGTGATCCCAGTAGTGAAGAGGGTTGGGAGCGACTTCTGGTTGAGAGCCTCTTGAAACTGTCGGGCGAGCACAGAGTGACACACCATGAACCCCTTCAGCCAGTAGTGATGCAGCCCGTCAAGCCCCGGACTTTTCCAGTTCGGGGCCCTACGGACCGCCTCAGCTACGTCATCCGGCGTTATGATGACGGGGTCCATGGGCGTAATACCCGCACACTGACTCGCCACAACTTCCGTCCAAGGGCCCTCGCTGTGGTTTACGGGCTCTGACCACAGGCCGCGCCAGAATGCTACAGTGTCGGCCTGATTCGGTGCTGGACCCGTTCCACTTACCATTGGTCGCTCCAATGATTCATAGAGCCTCTTCTGATCACTCTGGAAGAGACGATTCTGGTTGAACCATTTCAACCTCTCGGTATATCGCCGAATCCGCTTTCCCCATGCAGCGATTCTCTGCTTCAGATCATCTATGCGCTCCGTCAGTTTTTGCGTTATATCCGGCTGGGACAAACTGACATTTGTCCCAGCAAACGCCATCCTGACGGTGCGCACAATTCTTGGCCTGTTGTTGCCTGATCTGAAGCATATCAGTCTGCCGATGAGAGCTCTAGCCTTTGCGATACGTTCCTCAATTCTTCTTCTCCATGCTGGGATAGCGCTACTATGGCCAGTAGCGCGTCCAGCCGTGGAAACCTTGGCGCCTGAGATACGGCAGACTGCCAGCGCGGCGCCAAAAAGAATTGAGTCCGTCTCGCAAAGGTCCCGTCTGGCTTCCAAATAGGTCGCCAGCATTGGGTTCAGAGCCCTCACGACAGCCCAATTCCGCTTGCTTAGGGCTATGCAGGGAAGTTGCGGTCGATTTTCGAGAGGCGTACTGCGCGTTTCCACAATCGCCTCTTCCAATGTACTCCTCATATGCTCTAATTCCAGTTCCTGGGCGACTGTTCCATCGTCGTTTGAATCAACCACAACTGGGGTATTTACGGCGGCATCCACGTTTGCGGGTTGCTCTACCATTTGTGGCGCCGCATCCTCAGCCGTAGCATTCTCATCCGACGAGGGAACAGCCTCACGTCGTAGCCGTTCGAGTTCGGTGACATCAAATATATTTGAGCGCGAGATATACCGAACTCGGTCTGCCAGGTTTTGCTCTGTGACGGTTAAAGATGGCTCCAGCTCAGCAAAAAGACGATGCATCCTAGCCCGATACGCCAAACATCCAGTTTCTCCCCCTTTCGCCCCAAAATACGCCCGCATTATTATTATTATCGTTATTATTATTATTGGTGTATCTACAAAATTTTCTCACCTGGTTGGGTTCTATAAATATATAATTATAAATTAAAATGAAAAGATAAATGTCCATAAATATCAATAAAATAAAATAAATACAAAAACTGCATAAATAAATAAGATCCAACCAGATGGAGGCCCTCGGCAGGGGTGATCAAACGGCCGAGGGTTAGGGGGAAAGGGAAAGAAACCGGCGGACGATGCGGGCGGTATCGAGGAGCACCGCCTACTGCATTTGAGCCTGGAGCGGTCCGCCACGTAGTCCCAGCTGCCTCAGATGACCCGAGAGGCTGACTGGGATTAGCCCATTCGCAGAGACGACTACAGGAATAATTTCGGTCGGCAGACCACCCCACATGTCGGTCACCTCGTGAGCCAGGTCCAGATATTTTGTTTGCTTATCTGTTTCGGCTTTCACAAGGTTCTCGTCATACGGAACGGTAATGTTGACCAAAAATATCCTTGACTGTGCCCGGTCCATCGGCACAATATCAGGCTTATTCGCAAGAATAGTCCTGTCTGTGATGATGGCCCGGTCCCAATAGAGCCTGGCGCGATCATTTTTGAGCACAGATTCCGGCAAGTACTTGTAAAACGGCAATTTCCGATCCTCGAAACCGTATTTCAGAGCGAGCTCCTGGTGTAGAATTCAGGCTACTAGGTTGTGCCTGTGCAAGTACTCAGAGTTAGAAAGCGCCGAACAACCGGAGATAACATACCTAAGTGACTCACCGGGATGGCGACAAGCTTGACAGATGTCGACGATGCCATCCTTTAGGATGTATCTCCGATAGTTATTGGTCTTAATAACCTGATCCTGTATTGCACAGACTAAACCCTCGGTTTCCCCGAAGAGATCACCAAAGCGTAGCCAGTGGAGGGAGGCTACTGTGTCTACGAAAGGTTCATGTAGAGCCTTGTA